CATTCACGTTCCATAGTAAAAGTGTCTCAGGCAAACGGTATTTTGCCGTGAATTTTGAGCCGCGTGGAAATGCATCATGAAGTAAATTCAACGAAAACATTATCACGCAACGATATCTTCACGTCTTTTTATCCTCACTTTACGAAAGAACATACATTTTTGAGTATGGATGGGGAATTTCTAGTTAATCCAATAATAAATATGGCAGTTAGAGGCCTGCTAAGAGTAACATGTCGCCGACTGAGGCGGGATCGGCCGACGCGGGAAACGCAGCAATCACAATTTTGTGTTTACACGTTCATGTTTCAATTGTTTACCAACTGATTTTCAAAATTCTTTCACCATGAGCTTGCCTGTACATTTCTTAGTCTTCTCACAAAATTTGACGCGAATCGAACGTAATCAGCGGTAAGGAGCGCGATGTAAAGACGGAACCGTTCCGTTCCGTCCCGGCACAGTCTACAATTCAGGCGGCGCGTAGCGGTCGGCGCCGGCTGCCGAGTCGCCGCGTTGCCGCGGCGACAGGATGTTCACTTTACACCGCTATTACTAGAACAGTTGTGAACCGATTTTCTTATTGCTTGCACGATGAGATGTGAAATTCAATTCTGGATAGGTAGCCATAATTAATTTCGCATTAATATTATGAGATATTGGCGAAAAACAGGAGGGGTGGGGCGAAATTCACTCTTCCCCCTCCACTGCGAGTGCTAACATACGTTTGCATATGTGCCATTTTCTTCAAAACTTATAAATGGCCCACTCTAATTTTTTCACAGGTTGTTAAGAATATGGTAGGCAATGAAATATATGAAAATGAGCCAAATCGAAGGTGACGTGTTTTTTGCTATTTCAATTTTTGTGCTTAAGAACAGAGTTAAGCGAATTTCAAGGTCATATATCTAAGTAGGTGCAATTCTAAACAAATGCTTAAGAAATTACCTAAACAGTAAGGTTTATTTCATTCAAATCAAACAAGTACAACCAAAGATATGGTCGTTCAAAAATATAAAGATGCAACATTTTGTAAAAATTTGATGCCCTATATTTAGAAGACCTGTGGTCAGAATGTGCAAAAAACATCAATGTAATGTCTGGGGCGACACAGGAACTCGCTCACAAATTTATAATGAAATCGCTGATGGTAAGGTGCAAAACAGCCGATTTTTGTTCGATTTGACGTGGAATGCCCCCGCTTTAACCATGAATGGGCTCGGGCTGGGCCGGGCTGTGAACCCACGGGCCTGGGCTGGGCTGGACTGGGATTTTGCGGCCCGTGGCGAACACTGGGACCTATGCTAGACTTAAAGTTCTTATTCTACAATACATAATTCCAATTGCGTCGCACATGATCGGTATAAACGATGCTAATATGCACCGACAAGAGCATGTGCTTATTCTAAGCAATGTCTAATCCAATTTCGATTCCGACGAGAACCGTCGACTCTAGCCGACTCCGACTCTGCAGGCCTGGTTACATCTTGTTCGTATATGCTGTCATGGCTGGGCGCAGGGGTGGTTACCGGTCTATCCTGCATGAGCTTCCGCAATCAGTTCAACCTCTTCGTGACTCCACCGCCTGCAGAGCTGCTACACGAATCGTATAGTCGGATAGTTAGGACATGCAGCAGGGTATTTAGTGGCCTGTACCGCCGTACATTAGGGGAAGGTCAGCCACTGTTCGCGTGAAATGACGAAGTATGTGATAAGACAAGGAGAAATTGGGGGAGAGAAAGAGAGAGAGAGAGAGAGAGAGAGAGAGAGAGAGAGAGAGAGAGAGAGAGAGAGAGAGAGAGAGAGAGGCAGACAGACAGACAGACAGACAGAGACAGACAGAGGTAGACAGACAGAGACAGACAGACAGAGACAGACAGAGACAGACAGAGACAGACAGAGACAGACAGAGACAGACAGAGACAGACAGAGACAGACAGAGACAGACAGACAGACAGACAGACAGACAGACAGACAGACAGACAGAGACAGACAGACAGACAGACAGACAGACAGACAGACAGACAGACAGACAGACAGACAGACAGACAGACAGACAGACAGAGACAGACAGACAGACAGAGGGAGCCAGAGAGCACGGAAGTAAAAAATATAGAAAGAGAGATATATAAAAAATCAATTTGCCCTCTGTTTTCTGCCCATTGCCCTGAGCCTTCGGCATCAGCTGCAGCGGTTGCATGAACAATGAGAATAAACATGAAGGATGGCAATGAATCCTTGTCACAGTTTATCAGGCAGACGTTCTCCCACATATGGAATAAAACAAGATGCTGTCACCGATTTTCTTGTTGCCGGTGGGAGGTCAGACCGTCAGATCAGCCCGCGCATGACTGGGTTATTTCCATAACGCGAGTGACTGGGGGGGGGGGGGGGCTCTCCAGAGCCCCCCCTCCTATCTCCGAAACTACTGGGCCGGTCGTCAAAATTCAAACGGCGTCTGATAGCCCTGGAAAAACTGTCGAGTGAAACCTATTTTCATTGACCTCGAGGTCACCGATGACGTCACAGGTCAGGTCAAAGTAAAAATTATCGACATTTTTGTTAGTTCACAATTTAGGCTCTGACCGCCGGACCGCCTGTCCGATCAAGCTCATTTTTGGTTTACGCACTCCTTGACGGATGCCTTAGATACCCTGAGGGTACCGAACTTTTACTTCGAATTTTTAAGGTCAAGGCCAGGTCATCCTAGGTCACGAAAATTGTATATCATGTATACGCATGTTTTATGGTCCATTTTACTCGTAGATTTCGAAAATAGTGTCGTCTGTGTCATTTGAGGTCATTGTCAGCTGAATTTACCGGAGGTCAGGTCACTTTCAGGTCAGAAAAGGTCAAATTTTGAAAATGAAATTTTTCAACAAAAAAGGTGCCTATCAGATGCAGTTTGAGCTCAGGAACACGATGGTGCCATTTATGTTGCTGTACGACGTTAAAAACGTACTGAAAAATGGATTTGAAAAAACATAAAATTGTAAAATTTTGACAATAATGCGAATAACTTGGCTATTTTTAAAGATATTGGGCTAAAATTTGCAAATGTAGTTCATCAGTGTGTGTTCTATCACATATATTCCGGTTTTTGCGAAAAGTCAAAAACTTTTTGAAAAAAAAATCAAAAAATATATTTTTGTAATTGTAAATTAATATTTTTCAAAATTTTCAAAATTTCGAAAATTCGAGATAGCAGTTCGATAGCTACGTGTATTTGTAGTCCACTCATGCAAAGAAAATGGATCTAGCTTTAAAACTGAGCTCTTGAGAGCGTTTGCCGTATTTCAGTATTTTGCATGAAAATCGGCCGACATGACGTCACTCTGACGTCATGTCATTTCCGGCTAAACTATGGTAGCTAGAAAGTTGAAATTTTAATACAAGGTGTCAAATTGATGCCTCTGAGGGTACCGCAAGTTTCGTGTTGATCCGTCAAACGGTTTAGAAGATATTGCTGAAAAACATGAGGGAGGCTCTGTAGAGCCCCCCCCCCCCAGTCATGCGCGGGTTAACAATCAAACTAGAATAAAGGCTGTTTATTCCGTTTGAAGTATTTATGTTCGTATCGCTCGGTTGAGTTCGATCCGACACCCCGCAGTTCATTCATCAATCTTCAGCATGGTAGAGACCAACGTCAGCGTCAACATGTGAAGGTGACCAGGAAGCTGGGAATAGTGGCCGTCAGCCCCTCTCCATCCCAGCCAGCAAAATTGGTCTGGGCCGTGTCTGGCTTTACTCTGGCTAGCTCCGGCACTTACTCCGGCCGAAGAACGGACAAGGCCTGGAGCTCTAGCTGACTCACGATCCTAGAGCTTGCCCGCATCACAGCCGGACTTATGTCGCATCAGCCGTGCCGTACCTCAAGCGTATGTACCTCAGCCACAGTAAGACAGAGCAGCCACGTGGCATTTAGACCTGGCTGTAGCACGCCGTGGCAGGGAGCCGGACTTGAGCCGGACTTGGCGGTTTGAAACCATACGAACCCCGGAGCGCTACGGCAGAGACTGGCTAACCGGAATGGAGCAATACCAACCCCAAATCCCTGTTCCGACGGCGTTCCGTCTACACCGGCCCAAGTCTGGCATGTCGGAGTGGTCGGGGCAGAACGCCAAATTGCTGGCTGGGATATAGCCCCGATGTGGCTCAAAGTTATTTTTATATGTTCCCGAAACTTACACGGGCATCTCCGATCAGATTTCCTCCTGACGAAAGACCAAAGCGATGGGTGTGGCCCTGAGTTCAGATGATGCCAAAATATTTCTTTTGCGACGGTATCATATCTGCGCTGGCACTTGGCAGGCGTCTTTGCATCACGGTGGTGACTACCTGATTTAAAGTTATGCTAATCTGAAATAACAATGTTTAAGAAATCCTGTAGTCCTTGTTTCATCGCGATGTGATCAGAGGTTTGTAGATAGGTATTTGAAAACAATCATTACTTTTCAGAAGTCGCATGCATTATCATGACATTCAATTTGAAGTTCATGGAGAGTTTGGAGAGTCCATTGGTGCCCTTCCGTACTCGCTAACTTAATTGTGCTGGTTGTTATACATATACGAAATTAGCTGCAAGCCATATTTGACGTCACGCAAGGTAAATAATATGTGCAACTCCCAGGCATCGGACCTTGCACGGAGGGCGATAAATCACGATCGCATTGCGAGTGGTCGATTTAAGATAGTGCGAGATGAGGTCATTTCCGGCGCTGAATAAGCCGCTTCCATGAGCACTCTCATTTCCTCCGAGTGGTGAGGAGGTCTCGTGACCGACCTGACCTTAAGTGACCCGTTAAAAATGCGAGATATTCATTTTGAAATATCCATTCCCAAAGCATTCTTAGCCATTTCAAAAGCACCGGCAGGGGCGGCACCAACCATCCTCGACAGGGGCAGGCTAAGGAAGAAAGACTTGATAATAATCAATCTACGACTGTGGATACGAAAGACTCGTGCTTTTCTCCCGATCTTTTTCGAACACTGATAGAAACGAATTCGCATTGGCTTGTTTACATGCATATATTTTCATAGCTTGCAACAATATCACACGATGCAGGTATGACATCAAAGCAGAAGGTATATCAAAGCATTGCCTCAAAATATCCACCCTAGCAGAAAGTTCAGTGTCTTTTTTCGTGCGACGTGCGTTAGAGTTGTTAAGTCTAAAATTTGCCAGAAGTTGACGACATAGCTACATCAGACGCAGTTACAAAGCAGTCGTAAGTGCATTCGCGTCATGATCAAACTATACGTGAAATAACAGTCACAAAAAGCGGAAAAGTGACACTAACACACTAATCCATCGACACTAAAAAGACACTAATTCATCGAGTGGTTCACAGTCATGGCTGCTCGGTTGGTGTGCTGGTTGTGTTCTAGTTGATATGAAGAGAATACATCAGTCGAGGTCGATTATTGACTGGGGCTGCGGGAAACGATAGGCTGGAAGCCATTCTCGTCAGCAATCCACCTGAAATCAGACAGAATGGTGAATATTTAGAGAGAGAAAAAGGGCAAAGATCGCTCAGGCAGTGCCAAGGGTACTTTTTATGCAATTACACATTCACGTTTTTGATTTCGTCATGCTCTACCCGCAAGGCTTACATTGAACACTGTACCTTCTTGAAATGGAAAAACGTTTAATCGATCAGCATAGGAACCATGCAGCCTTATGTGATAAAATTGTTCAAGGCATTGAACAAAAACAGCCCACCATCCACGCCTCGATCCCACCGCCGCTCCACCCCTGCCCAGCACTGACCTGACCTCGATGAGCTCGCCGTTAGGGGCGACGTACGAGTAGGATCCCTGCATGACGGTGCCGACGCCGTCACCGATCTGGCGCTGCTCTCCCTGGGCCTCGACCTCAATGCTGTCGGCCGACGCGTAACTGCCGCACACCAAGGTGTAGTTTGAGTCAGTTTAGACTAAAAATCCCCCAAAATGATAGGCTGCTGTTTCATCCAAGAGACTCTTAAATTTGTCGTCAAACAGGCTGGTGGAATGGACATTGAACATCGCCACACCTGGTTTAGCTCTTACTGCCTATATCACTTGGTAGGTGAAGCTGGTGAAGCGCTGAGGCGCAGCGTTCCACTCACTCGTACTGGAAGCTGCCCTCCGGGCTCTGGTTGTTGCTCTGACGGAGAATCGGCACAGGATCGCTGCGCTGCTGCTGCTGCCTCAGCGGCTGGTCCAGCTGCAGTCTCAGCGGCTGATCGAGCTGCTGAGCGGGCTGATCCAGCTGCTGGGTCAGCGGCTGAGCCAGCTGCTGGCGGGGCTGGAACTGCTGACCAAACTGCTGCTGCGGCAGCTGGCCGAACTGCTGCTGCTGCGGCAGCTGACCGAACTGCTGCTGCTGAGGAAGCTGACCGAACTGCGAGCGCAGCTGCGGTCGGCCGAAGCGCGACTGTCCGAACTGCTGGCCCTGGCCGAGCCTGCGTCGCTCGAACTGCTGCTGGCCAAGCACGGCCACAGCCAGACACAGGAACGCCTGAAACCGAAAGGACCATAAGAATGTCAGCTTCGTCTGATATTTTTACTTTGCATCGACGAATTTTTGGAGACGTGCGAAGATTGCTTTTAAAGCTACGTTTCAATATTGCAAGGAATGAAACAATCTGGAGCCAATAAAGCGCTTCAACGTGCATATAGGATTTTATCGTTGCTCTGTAGCACCTACCGCCAGTTTCAGCATGGTGTCTCTCCTCTGTGCAGTATCGGACTAGTCCCGAGCAGATGCAACTGGTGCCTCGGTCTGGAACGCACAGGCTTTTATACCGGTGGGGCTCCGTTAATGGGACCGTATTAGAGCCGGCGATAATCACGGAACATTAGTGTCGGGGCAGACTGCGGCGGGGCAGACTGCGGCGACCCCTAGGAAGAACAACTAGGGAGAACAACATTCGACAGATGGCAGCACTATAGACGAGATAATCAGGCAATACTTTAATGTTAATGGGAAAGAAATAATGCCAATGTTTGCCCTCACCAAGCATGTTACCACGATAATGGAAGAATGTAGTGTAGTACCCCTCCCCGGGCCCGCCGCGGGCAGGCAGCGGCGGCCGGAGCCGGTCCGACCGACCTTTAGCCGGCCGGGTCAGGTAACCGGGACGGCCGCGCCGCAGCGCCGCGCCCGGGCCGGCCGGGAGACGGAGTCGGGTGCCCGCCGGCGAGCCGTCGGCAAGGGCGCGGGGCACATTAGTCGAGTTGAATGTTCACTGTTCAGTTTTGAGTGCGAGTGATGTATGTGTGAATCGATATGTGAGCAGCAAAATCCAGCAAGAAAACAAAATCCGTGAAAGAAAGGCAACGCTGGCAAACATCACCACCATAGTCTTCCTACGCCGAACAGGTTCCACACCAACTAGCATCAGCGAGAGTAAAACTAGGATCCTACTGTGGTCGCGATGGCCCCTCGCCGGCAAAAAACTGCAGGTATGTTACTGGACATTCCCTGCTACCTAGCTAGGTCTGTCGACGGCTTTCACCGCGTGCATGGGGAGATTACCCCCCCCCCCCCCCGGCGCCGGGCGCCATTTTGTCTCGCCCGTTCCTCGCCGCGTCCCATAACACACCGGTGGTGATTGCCACTTGCACCTTATACTCACTCATGTGATCGCTAACGGCGATTCAATATAGCATACATGATAAGAGTTTGCCCCCATCGCGCCCCCCCCCCCCCCCCCAGCCGAGGCCGGGCGCCGTGCGCCACATTACTGACCATAACGAGCCCTACACTGACTGCAATCAGGTGTCTCACCACCTGCAATGTGCCTGGGGAGCAGCTCACTCCGGTGTGATTTGCTCAGTATATGAACCCGTGACTTTCTGTACATTTATCTTGTGCCCGGCCAACCAGGATGACCTCCTCTTCCGTACCTACAATGGTTAATTCCATCCATGTCATTGCTTGCCTGGCCCCAGTCATTGACGTTCTTAGCCTGCCATGCATTTTTAGCCCTATATACTCTTTGCTTGCCTGGCATCAGTATTGATGTCCATGGCCTACGCCCAATGCCCTGTCGCCCTGACGCCATCTTGGCGGGTCCGACCAGCCATTGCGTGATCGTGACGTCAGCTCTAGGTGGCACTTCCAACGCTGGTAGCGCCGCGGGCGGCGGCAGCAACGATAGCTACTGATGGTCACGTGGTTGCCAGCGGCGCAGGCGCGGGCGTGTGACACTTGACCGTCCTCCGCACCGGGGGGCGGCCGGGTGACTCATCCGGCGTGACGTCAGCTGCCCTTGACAGGCCGTGACGGGCCTGTGGCCGGCGGTCGGACTGCCGTTGATCAAGGGTGTCGCCTTGCACCGGTCTGCAGCGGACCGACTGGGGGTCAGTTCACTGCTGGCAATGTGCCACTCTGTGGATGCACGTATGCCTGCTGCTATGCTGCATTGCTGCCATGGGCCTGTCCACCGATCGTATACCTACACGGAACGCGCACCTACCTGACACCAGTTGGCAGCGCCAGACTGTGACGCAAAGATGCATTTCCGACCCGGCGCCAAGGCTGAGAAATAATAAGGGTCGGCAGACACCGCCTCCGGCGGCGCCTGTTTGCAGTAGTGGCCCCGTCCCATTCCCTCACCTGTCCACTTAGACTCCCCTACAGACATCAAGGGCTGTTTGTGATAGCTGCATCTACACACATGCACGGCTGTCCGCAATAGCCCCACCTACAGACAGGCACGGCTGTCCGCGATAGCCTCACCTAAAAAAAGGCACGGCTGTCCGCGATAGCCTCACATGCCGACATGCACGGCTGTCCGCGATAGTCTCACCTGCAGACGTGTGCGGCTGTCCGCGACAGCCTCACCTGCAGACATGGACGGCTGTCCGCGATGGCCCCACATTGTAACACATCAGGCTGTCCGCGATAGCCTCACATACCGACATGCACGGCTGTCCGCGATAGTCTCACCTGCAGACGTGCGTGGCTGTCCGCGATAGCCTCACCTGCAGACATGGACGGCTGTCCGCGATGGCCCCACATTGTCACACGTCAGGCTGTCCGCGATAGCCTCACCTACAAAAAGGCACAGATGTCCGCGATAGCCTCACCTGCAGACATGCACGGCTGTCCGCGATAGCCTCACATACCGAGATGCACGGCTGTCCGCGATAGTCTCACCTGCAGACGTGCACGGCTGTCCGCGATAGCCTCACCTGCAGACATGCACGGCTGTCCGCGATAGCCTCACATACCGACGATAGTCTCACCTGCAGACGTGCGCGGCTGTCCGCGATAGCCTAACCTGCAGACATGGACGGCTGTCCGCAATAGCCTCACATGCCGACATACACAGCTGTCCGCGATAGTCTCACCTGCAGACGTGCGTGGCTGTCCGCGATAGCCTCACCTGCAGACATGAACGGCTGTCCGCGACGGCCCCACATTGTAACACGTCAGGCTGTCCGCGATAGCCTCACCTACAAAAAGGCACGGCTGTCCGCGATAGCCTCACCTGCAGACATGCACGGCTGTCCGCGATGGCCTCACCTGCAGACATGGCCGGCTGTCCGCGATGGCCCCACATTGTAACGTCCGGCTGTCCGCGATAGCCTCACCTACAAAAAGGCGCGGCTGTCCGCGATAGCTTCACCTGCAGGCATGCACGGCTGTCCGCGATGGCCTCACCTGCAGACATGGACGGCTGTCCGCGATGGCCCCACATTGTAACCCGTCAGGCTGTCCGCGATAGCCTCACCTACAAACAGGCACGGCTGTCCGCGATAGCCTCACCTGCAGACATGCACGGCTGTCCGCGATAGCCTCACCTGCAGACATGGACGGCTGTCCGCGTTGGCCCCACATTGTGACACGTCAGGCTGTCCGCGATAGCCTCACCTAAAAAAGGCACGGTTGTCCGCGATAGCCTCACCTGCAGACATGGCCGGCTGTCCGCGATGGCCTCACATTGTGACACGTCAGGCTGTCCGCGATGGCCCTACCTACATACATGCAAGGCTGTCCGAGACCTCGCCTCCAGACATGCACGGCTGTCCGCAATAGCGGAGCTAAAAGAAAAAAAAGCACGGCTGTCCGCCATAGCCTCACCTGCAAACATGCACAGCTGTCCGCGATAGTCTCACCTGCAGACGTGCACGGCTGTCCGCGATAGCCTCACCTAAAAAAGGCACGGCTGTCCGCGATAGCCTCACATGCCGACATGCACGGCTGTCCGCGATAGTCTCACCTGCAGACGTGCTCGGCTGTCCGCGATAGCCTCACCTGCAGACATGGACGGCTGTCCGCGATGGCCCCACATTGTAACACGTCAGGCTGTCCACGATAGCCTCACATGCCGACATGCACGGCTGTCCGCGATAGTCTCATCTGCAGACGTGCGTGGCTGTCCGCGATAGCCCTACCTACATACATGCAAGGCTGTCCGAGACCTCGCCTCCAGACATGCACGGCTGTCCGCAATAGCGGAGCTAAAAAAAAAAAAAAAAGCACGGCTGTCCGCCATAGCCTCACCTGCAAACATGCACCGCCAGAGGGCAGAGGGCAAGGGCGCGCCGGTGGGCCGGCGGCCGAGCTGCAGATCGGCAGGCACACAGGTGTGGCCGCATTACATAATGGTTGTCAAGTTTACAGTTTATCGGAGCTTTTTAGGCTTGCCTCCTTCCTGATGACTTAATACTGAGCCGATGTCAGATATTACTGACAAAGACTTTCTATATTATTTGGGTCACGTCGGCCATAACAATAGCAACCATTTGCAAAAAATCATTAGTTTTGTTCAATTTCTCTTCGATCAACTTTTTGATTTAATTTCTTCTGCCAAACAAGAGTTACAATTAACTTTTTTGCGATTTCTTTAGGGCTCATATAAGCATGCAAGCCTTTTCCTGTGGACCTAATAAAGCTGTAGTACCTCTAGGATACTAGCAGCACCCGCAGAGAAAAAGTAAAGGCAACTGCTTAACTTACGGGATTTCGCGTATTTCGAATCCAGACTCACAGCATGAAAAATTAACCCAAAACAATTTTTAAAATATCACACCAGCTGACTTAGCTATTCAACCTTACCGACTAATTCATTGTCCATGAAGCGAATTCTTTATTATAAACATAAATGAATAACACAAACATCACTCTATTTCGTCTTTTTTCTTCAGAGAACTGCTAGGTGACAGCCAAAAACTGTCGAACGATTCAAGAAAATACCTAATAAAATACCTACCACATCATGGCATCAGATAAAACCCAGATGCTATGCACCCATTTTGGTCACTATCAGTGCAGAGAGCTTTTCCTAATTGGTGTGAAACGCCCCTCAATATTGCGCTCGCACAAAGACCGCGGGTTCCGACATTGCCGTTTCAACTTCATAGAGCCATAGCCAATATTGTGATGTAACCAGCAGGCAACGCTGGGTGGAATAGAATCCTATACCTGTGTAGGATCACCCACATATGCCGTGAACATGTTGATTTTGTGCTCCTTGTTGTACACCACTGCAAAGAACGGTCGGTCTGCTTTGAAATCTGCGGGCGGATTTCCGCGACCAATGATCACGGCACCGGCTCCTGCTGCCTCTGTGCCGTTCTCGTTGACTTCAATGAACACTTTGTGAAGAATGGCGGTCACGAAGAGACCTTGCCAGTCATCAGTTAGACTACTGAAGTCAGCCCCAGCACTGAATATCTGCTTAATACCCAACTGCTGCATATCGTCAACCAGAGAATAATCTGATTCAATCTTGAAACGAGGAAGCGTAACATAGACTGGCTGCCTGACCAATTGTTGAACAATACTGTTCACGCTCAGGGTGCCCAGGGAGTTTCGTAGCGCAGTTACTGCCGACATGCTACGCTCCAAAGGTCTAATCAAAAGCATACAATAATCCTCATCCGTATACGGAAGAGCCACAACATCATATGTACCCATATTTGCATACTGTAACTCGGTCAGATTCAGTTTCATCATGTTAACCTGCTTCTCTCCATTCCCCGTCAGAAACGTACCAGGCGCGGCAGGAGGAAATGTCTGCTTCCAAACACCTTTAAAATACATCGCGCTAACCAGAACCACTTCTGCCAATCGCAGATGACTGATTTGCACGAGGTCTTGTATGCGGTCTTCGGTGGCCGCCGCGACATCTCCGTTGATGAGCGTCACACCTTGTGCCGGTGTGGAGAAGGTGCCCACGGTGTTTCCGTAGTAGGCGGTCAGGTAGTTGGTGAAGGTGGGCCTCACGCTGAAGCCGCTCCTGACGTACATCCGGTTGAAGACGGAGGTGGTGAGCTGGCTGGATGCGGAGGAGCTCGACAGGTAGCTGATGGCAGACTTGTAGGCGGTCAGGAACGACAGAGGCGCCGGCTGAGTCACGCCCAACACAGGCGTTATCTGTGAGCGTGTAGACCGTGGTCAGTTTCTGATACAAGTACATACAGCTATGTTATCCGGCTAATGAGAGTACTAAAAGAAGAAAAATAATCAAAATGGACAACATAAATTTAAATTTCAGTTAAATGCAGGCAAATCGATGTCAAAAAGTAACTAGTAATCTAAACTTAGGCTAATCATTTAATATTTCCGCGAGGAAGCAGTACAGGCTGCATAACAATTGCGCTGATCCCATGGCTACCTCACCTCATCCCTTGTGGAGCCGTTGGTGGCCAGCCAGACCTGAGACATCAGGGTGGACATGACGAACGGAGAGATGGCGTGGTTCTCGCTGAGGTTGACAGTCACCTCCTTCATCAGCTTCAGGTCCAGTGCAGAGGGCACCTCGCAGGACGGAGCCACAGCCATGCCGTACAACAGCCACGGTATACCTATACACGAGTTAGTGTGCTTTTTTGTCATGGCAGCTGTTTTAGAAAATCGAGGCGGGAGTATTCACGTTAGATGTTACCTGCTTTGTTGGCCCATGCATAACACATTTCAAGTTATACGATTGGAAAGTGTGCTCGCAATGCTAAGACAGCTCGAAGAGCTTTGCTGTCTCCACAGTGGAAAGAAGAGCTCGATGCCCGATGCCGGTTGACGTAGGTATTTATGTATGTACAAACTGAATATGAATATCTTTTAACTTTTCTACTTACATCGTAAGAACATTGCTGTTTTTGCTGCACTTCTTCAGCAATCAATGCAAAACAAATCTTATGCTCCTAGAGCCTACTGATGTTGACTGCTGTCCTGCCGTGCATTAACTGCCCCGTCAAAATGACAGCAAATGCGACGCGGTGCAGGTGGAGGCGGTTTGGGCTGATGAAATCATGACTCGACACTTTTTAGAAAAGCTGGTGCAATAGTTTTGAGTGACGACTGACAAGGGGCGCAGAGGCATATAATGCATCGTTAGAAATATATTTGTTGTAAAATGTCACTGAAGCACCCATTGCAGCAATGTGCACTGTTCTTGCCCAGGGCTAGCACTCGCCCCGAAGGACCCATGCCCGCTGAAGTGCTGGGAGGGGGGGGGGGGGAGTCGGGCCCTGTTATATACGAAACCACTCTGTACGCTATTTCGAACTACTTAATTGTTACTGTAGCTATTTCCAAATGCCTACAACGAAAGTTTGGCTCATCACTTCTCCATTATTTTTTTGTTCTTTTTATCTTTTTTGTTCTTTTTATCTAGATAATCTTTTTATCTAGCCTCAAAACTAGCAGCGAAATAGCTCGTCCTGCAGACCTTTTTGTGGTCTGTGGTTGCAGAATACGTCGTCACCGCTTACGCCATTACTGGCAGCCCTATCATAACATACACTGTGATCATAACCTCCAATTTTTCCTTGTTCAGACTGTGTAGGATTGATATTGAAAAGGTATTGAAAGACTGCTGATGAGATGATACCAGCACTATACTTGGACAAATCTACATAGGTAAATAGACCAGGGAGTCGTTTCTTCCCTTCCATCTTGCATTGGGCCCCTGATGAGTAGGGATGTCAACGATAAGTCAGTGTCCAGTGTTTGTGTAAATGTGGTTTTCAATGTTAATCATATCCATTGATTCGGCCATCATGGCTCGTCTCAAAAGTTCAGTTTTCTTAGCAGAGTCGAACACTCGCAGTGCGGCGCTGGTACATGCATGCGATGCCCAGTATATCATTCCCCGCGATTATCGGTGCAGCCTGTACCATCAAACCGGATGCAGTCTGTAAGCTGGATGAGCCGTGCGTGGTATACTCTCAGATGTTACACATTTTGACATATATTCGTGCATTGCTTCCGCAGCAACACCATGGCTTACAAGATCAGCAGGCACAGACCAGGTTACAGGCATTTATGATCAAGCAAATAAGTGAAAAGTAATTGTACGACTCTATATGCAGTGTGCTTCGTACAACGTATGTACATATACCGTTTTCCCATCGGTGCAATTATAGTTAAAGTAATCAATAGCTAGCATCTGTAGAACGTTTCAACCAAAGCATCCTTTTTATTCCCGCGTTGCTCATGGATCGTACATAGTTTCACGGTGATGCGATAAAAGCGGTGAATAAGTTGATTTTGTGCAGCTTGTTGTATACCAAGGCGAAGAACGGTCGGTCAACGAAAAACTCATCCGGCGGATTGAGGGACACACTCTCCCATTTGTAGAGGACGGCTCCTGCTCCCGCGGCCTCTGTGCCATTTTCATTGACTTCCATAAACACCTTATGAATGACGGAACCAACATATATACCGTTACGTTGTTCATAAAGGCCACTGAGGTCTGGTGAATGAAATATTTCTCGAATGCCAATCTGTTCTAAAGCTTCATTCAAAGTATAAGTGGTACGCAGGGTAAAGCGGGGCATCTTGATGTCCATGGTGCCAAAAGGATCATACATGCGCTCCACTAAACCATCGACATCAATCTGATCGAAGGAATCACGGAGTGCGGCAACCGCGTCCATGCTTCTGTTGACCGGTCTAATTATGATCATGCAGTATTGGTCGTCGGCGTAGGGAAGTGACATTGCGTCATAGGATCCCATATTCGTGTAAGGGAAGTTTGTTTCCGTTAATTTCATCATATCCACTGGTTTTTCTCCATTAATTGTGAGAAAAGACCCTTTGCCGTCCGGCTGAAATGCATCTTTCCAGTTTCCTTTGAAGTACAGGGCGCTTACCAAAACTAATGACGTTCTTTCCAGCTGTTTCTCCGAAACCAGCGACGGAATGCGGTTGTTGGTTACATTGGCTACGTCGCTATTTATCTCATCTGCTGCTTCTTTTGTATAGGAGAAATATGAGACGCCACTTGCGCCGTAGTAAGTTGTTAGGAGGTCAATGAAGGATTGTTTGATGGTCCACCCCTCCCTAACATACATCTTGCTGAAAACTGACATGGTGATGTGACTCGAATTTGCAGGACTCGAGATGTAGTTGATGGCAGATTGGTACGCGGTTAGAAACGATTCCGGTGCCGGCTGAGTCACTCCCAACGCAGAGGTTATCTGTAAACAAATGACAACCGTAAATAATAAGTAATTGTGCAGTGTGCACTATGATCTGCGTCATGTCATGTCATGTCATGTCACCTATTTCAGAGTAAACTTTCAGGTGTAGTAGATAGCTGTTTGGTGTCCTGGTCTCTATCGCGTGCTTAAATGACAGTTCGCATGCAAGTAACGTAAGTAATTTATGTAAGCTAGTTAGTATGCACCTATGTATTATGTATGTATGTAGGTATGTATGTAATAATGTATGTATGTATGTACGTATGTATGTATGTATGTATGTACGTATGTATGTATGTATGTATGTATGTATGTATGTATGTATGTATGTATGTATGTATGTGTGTATTGACATAATCTGACCAATCCACACTAGATGGCTAAAGGCTTTTGCCATACACTGGAACGACATGATGTACACTCGTGGGCAGATTGATGTTCCACCACTCCCAACCCATCGGGCTCCAATGGCTCAGCACTGGCTGCTGCCAGTGGCAGCACTGGCAGCACTGGCACTGGCAGGCAGTGCTGAGCAGTGCTGAGGACAGACAACACTGGCAGCAGCCACTGCTGATCCATGGGAGCCCGATGGGTAGGGAGTGGTGGAACATCAATCTGCCCCCGAGTGTACACATAACATCTAAAATTCCCATGAAATATAAAACAGTTCAAATACACTATACGATCATCACGATAAAAGTGGCCTACATTGACAAACTAATGCCTTGGCGCGCTTAAGTCTGCGTGGTAATATGAATATCGCCGCGTCTATCATATTTAGGTTCTTTTGAACAAGTGGCCAGAACGGTAGGCAATTGATCTTTTCCCCATGGTTGTTCTTGAGACGCTCAAGATACATGCATAGGTATTATTTGATTGCCGCGTCACACAATCGATAATTTAGCCTAATAGCTTAATTTGTAATTCAGCTCAATAATAGTTAGCTTCTTCATTTCTTTTGCACTAAGCGTTACTTTCAAACTTTGGTTTTTGGTAGAAGGGCTATCATTTAATTGAATTATAACTTATACCTTAACCCTCGCCCGCACATGCCATTTTCCCATCCTAGAACGCACATGGGGGGGGGGGGGTTGCCACCCCCCGCGCCATTTCGTTCCTGTTGGAGATAGAGCTAAGCGGTAAAGACCAAAAAGATTCTTTGGGAAGAGACAAATCCAATGGTACCCAGTTTTTTCTTCTCAGGTCAGTCATTGACCTTCCAGGTCAGGTCAAACTAAAAAATGTTGCTGTTTTGGGTCTCCGTTGGATACCAAGTGCGCTGCTTACTATATACCGATGACGATGCGGTTTTCTGGTGCCAAGCCAGCTAGAACCTCTTTCTCACACTACCTGACCAGGTTTTTGCTGCTGAGGTCATTTCAGGTCAAGTTAGGTCAAGGTCAGTTATATGTGTTTGTATGTCTGTGTGTGTCTGTGTGTATACTGATGTGTGCACCGAATGTTTATGTGTCCATATTACATGAAATCATGATCTGAGAAGCTTTTACCAAAAATGCAGTCAAAAAACTTCACAAAAAGTAAATTCCGCTTGCCTAAAACGCAATTATCTTAGCTGACCTAGGTTGACCTTGACCCTGACCTTGACATCTGTACATCGTCGAACAACATGTTCCATGATAGCCATAGGTGGGAGGTAAGACTGGCAAAAAAGGCCGAAATCAAGGTGTCAAAAGCTCACAAGGCCCATAGCCAACAAGTTGTAAAAATTGATTACAAGTATGAATAACACACAAACGTACAAAAACTACACATTTAGGTATATTACGTAATTATGTCGTCCATGCCGCGGTGAAGTCCTGGATATCACCCACCTCTCTCCTGGTGGATCCACCAGCCGAGAGCCAGACCTGTGACATGAGCGTGGAGACGACGAACGGGGAGATGGCCTGGTTTTTACCCAGATCTTTGGTCAACTCCTTAACCAGCTTGAGATCAAGACCATTCGGCACGGCGCCAAATGTAGTCGTCACTGAGAAGGCCAGCAGAAGCCAAGTTGATCCTGAAAAAGCAAAGTTTATCTTCTTACTTGCAAGTTGCAAGATTATGCATCGACATTTTAAGGAACAGCGTTGTCTTACAAAAGTGTTATTCGTTCTTCGTCGAATCAAATTGCTATTGCCTGCAAAATGCAAAGAGCATGAAGTATATTAAACTTACCATGTCTCAAACCATGTGCTGCCATCGTTTCCTGCAAATCTATCTAAAAGGGACTGTTTTGCCAATACGAACTCACAACTGATGCTTACAGCCTACAGACCAGCGGGCAACTGATGTATGTTGTTAGTGCGATGAACACATATACCCCAGTGTTCGGTGTGGGGGGAGGGAATGTATAGCTCCGGCTGGCACCGTTTTCAAGCTGACGAAATTCGTGACTCAGCACCCGTTCACCCCTACACTTTCTGCGAGGGACGGATCCTGTGGCCACTGAGAGGGCACTGAAAGGGCGCAGCGGGAGGTGCAACTCACAGCGGACGTCTTTCCTTTTTGCGTCTCCAAATATTTGCTCAATTGCAAACGCGTTTCGTACTGATAACGATACTTCTCAAATTGGATGATAAAGCATACCTCTCAAAGTTCGGAACAGGGCCTATTGCGACCAGACAGGACATGATGGGTACATATTGATTATTGAGCTTAGATATTATGTTGACATATAAAGATATTGGCATCAATTTTAGTCAAGCGTTCGCCGGGAGCCTCGCTCTAAACGTTGATGGTGCATTATGTCTCTATCCATTATA